AATCCAAAGGTTGATCTTGAACAGTACCCCACAACACCACACATTGCGGCCCACATGTTGTACACAATCGACAATACTTTTGGTGACATCGAAGGCAAGCTTGTGGGTGATTTAGGCTGTGGTTGCGGAGTTTTAAGCATCGGTTCTTGTCTGCTTGGCAGTGCTATGACTTTTGGTTTCGATGTAGACAGCGATGCTTTGGAAATTGCCTCAAAAAACTGCGTTGAATTTGAGCTTCAAACATGCGAGTTGATTCAGTGTGATGTACAAGAATTTTCACCGTGTGACAGATGGAGTAAAGCGTTTGACACGATTATAATGAATCCACCGTTTGGCACAAAGAACAATAAAGGTAACCTTGGGGAAAAGGGTTTTTTTTTAGGGTCGTCTTCTAGGGATAAGACAACAGAATAATGGTCATGGACGGGTGTTGGATTTCAGGTTGGGGTGGTGGGGAGGGGGGCCCAACATTCCTGAGGTCAAGCTCTCTATTTTCTACCCTGGGTACCAGAGGTTTTGCTCGCGTGCAGCGGGAATTTTCGCTGTTGGCGTTTTCTCACAATATTCGAAAAAACTTTGGGAGAGCTTAATCACATGCTCAATGAAGGGCTGAAGTCAGCCAACTCCCCTTAGTTTAACTTGAGGATGTTCAATTTAATTTGATTAAAATTAAATGGTGAAGACCAGCCATACATGGTTTAAATGTTGCAATAAATAGCAAAGTGACTGTCATGAGACAAACGATAAACAAGGCCATGATATTAATTCTTTGTGAGAAAGTCATGTTTAAGACTTTTAGTGTCTTTTTCTCTAGGGATTGATCTGAATTTCTTACAAAAAGCAATCAGTATGACCAGAACAGCTGTGTATTCTCTTCACAAGACAGCAACAAGAGAATACATCAAGAAGAAAGCATCAGAATGGGGAGTGAATATGGAAGTATTAGCTGAACTGAGATTTAATTTGGCAGCAAGCTACAAGTTTCATCGCAAAAAGACTGTTGACATTGAGGTAGACTTCATAAGGATAGATTGTTCAGGTTGCTAGTGATGAAATAAATAAAAACATCAAGTCAATATTAAGTTCTTTTAAAGGGACTGGATCCAGGAGAATTACCTTTAGGGGGGGACTCCTCATATGGAAGGGGTGGGGATGCTCGTTGGAAATTTTGAATTAAACCCCTAAAGGAGACCAATCTGGGGGTGGCCCAAGCGTTTTTTACCCCTAAAAGACACCATGTTAAAACACAGACTGACAATATATATATTTTTATATTTTTATATTTTTCCGTGTGCAACCCTAAACGAGACCTTCACGGCTTAAAATGATGGCGTTTTGCCCAGAACACCCTAAGTGAGACCAAAGTCCAACATTTATACCCCTAAGCAAGACAACGAGCATCCTCACCCCTTTCATATGTAGAGTACCCCCCTCCCCCTAGGGAACTTATCCCAGTTCTGGGAGAGGTTACTAGTAGGGGTATACAATAATAATTATCAGAGTCTGGTAGGGGGCATCCTGATCCCGCACTCTTTCTCCTTTTTCCCGAAAATCCCACATCCCACATTTTTTTCATCTTTTTCCCAAATCCCATATTTTAGTTTCCAAAATAAGTAAGTTAGACAAAGACTTATTGCTTTAAAAGCTTATTAACAGAAGATGTAGCTTGGCCCTTTCAATTGATATTTCAAATTTATGCGACTGTTAAGGTACCAGGTGCATTTTCCTGGCATCCAGTTTAAACAGTGGGTTTTGATCTTCTGGCTGCTCATCTGTTGATCATTTGACTGTTTAAATAATTTGCTTTGATAGTAGACATTACTGTACGCTCGCCTGGTTGTTTTCCATTAGATGTTAGAATGTACAATATCCCGAATTTCTGACAAACAGGCAAGAAAATCCCGCATCCTGTGCCCAAATTCCGGTGTATCCCTCTTTCCAAGTAGCAGTCAAATCCCTTTCCCCTCAAGATATTTTGAGTTTTCTCGAATCCCACACCGTATTTTGGTCAAATCCTGCATCCCGAAAATACCCTCCCAGACCCTGAATTATGTGCTGTCAATTGGCACATTTGTGGAAAAGTTGAATAGTACTGTAGAGTCAGGCAATTACCCATGGGTATTCCTCTAAGTAACTATTGTAAATCACGTGACATATGGTGCGATAGTTACTTAGAGGGGTACCCATGGGTAATCACCTAACACTACAGTACTGTTTCTCACATGTCTTAATTTTCTATAGTGTAGGGTTTTCTTCATTCCCAAAATTCAATCTTTTATTTGCCACTTATTTTTTCACTACATATAAAGAGAATCGGAAACTTCTGGTAGTTCCTCTTAATAAAATTGTAAAAATTTGTACACTGAAGTAATAACAGTGAAATACTAAAACAAGTTGATATAACTTCAGCTTGTGCCAGTCAATGAGGGAACTTTTGAATAAAGGAAACTTGAACATAAATTGTTTTAGCACATAGTAAGCTAAAATATCTAAATATTTTAATTGAAACCTTAACATAGTGCATGTCGTATTCTATGCCTGGGTCTTTTCCATCCCTTCATAGTAGATGTGCATTGTAGCTTCTTGGCCCATGAATCTTTCCTGTGCTTTCTGTAGGCCGAAAGTTCCAGTTTGCCTCAAAAGAATTTAAAGAGGAAACAAGTGTAGCATTGATGAATCTCTATTTAAAAAAGAAATAAAAAATTCCATTGTGAAAATCAAAGTACCATTGACAAAGAATTATCCAAACGTTGGAGCAATTTTAAGTCAGAACGTTTAAAAGCCTCAGTGTAGAAAATTAGTGTTCTACCGATGGAGCTAGTAACAGAAGCCATAAGTAGCACTATTCAAACCAAACCTTTAACTTAGTTTTGAAATTTAAAAATCAAGTTGGTGAGCTTGAGGAAACAAGTGACGACTGCCTGACACCAGTGGAAACTTCGAAAATTAAGAGATCATGAAGAAATTAAAACAGAAAAAAAAATCATCAAAAACTATTCAGAGGGGAACTCCGTCTTTTTTTTAACCTTTGATCAGGCGTCTCTCAAACAAAAAGGGATGAAGGACCGCCTGATCGCAGGTTGGCTTGGTTTTAAAAATGGAGGGAGGGGGAGAAACAGTGGTCAAAGAAATTACTCCAGAAATACGCAATTACACACGAAAGTGTTAATAAAAAAGAAAATTTCCCAATTTAGAATATTATTTCTCTAGTTCTGATACTCCTTCAACACTGCGAGTTAGTCAAGCTATTTTCGTCCGTTAGTTTGTCTGAGCTGTGATTGGCCAAAAAGTAACAATACTGTTTCTTCTTAAGTTTACAGTTCATTTAACGAACACCGCGTATGTCCCTTAGTCTTTTTAGTCAGGGGCACCCAACTACTGTTTTCTGTGTAATATCTGTTCGGAGAAGCAAATATTGTCTAGAATTTTCTTTTGCTTGAGGACGGCTAAAAATTTCTAGATGAACGTTCCATTCATGTACAATTTTCGAAGCTTATCTAATTCATATTTTACTAACCAGTTTACACTAGTTTTTGTAGAAAAAGAAAACCTAAAATTTTCAGATTCTAAAATGTGACGGAGAGAGGAATCACAAAATTCTCTTTTTCGTAAAGCGTTAAATTGCACCTAAAATTTTCGGAAAAATAATACTGAAGCCCTTGTAATTTCGAAAAGACTCAAGTTCCCTTAGGATGACCGAACATTTAAAAATGTTGTAGTGCTGCTTAGAATGCATTTCTAGAGATCTAAAAACACTCTGGATAGCCTAAAAAGTGTTTTCAACATATTTTGGAGGAAACCGTCGTTGGGTGCCCCTGTTTATTGGCTGGATAAGCATTGTTAAGAAGATATTCATAAGTATTTTGTTTGTGTTCGCGTACGTGTTAAACTGACGCATCCGCCCCGGGCTGTGATTTTAGTGGGCACCTTACAGTCGCCAAATGTATAAGATGACCAACCGCAGAATTAAACAGTCACGCGCATTTTAAAGCCTTTTCCTTTCGTTTCTTGAAACTTTTAAAGATAGAACGTGATAGAACTTGAATACCGCATAGACACTTTGTTCTTCAATTCAGTTATTAATCATGAAATGTATTTCAGTAGAGGAGTATGAAAAATATCAGGTTGTAGTTCCGGGTTCGATAATTGCTGATACTTGCATAATAATACGTTCCTTTCTACTGTCCATATCGTAAAAGCGTCACGGTCCTTAATCTTTTGAAAGCGGGTCCTTTTATACACCTGTGAGCACATCTTAAGCTGCCATAACATCCCTCATTATGGCCAGCTAAATCTATAAGTGAAGCCTACGCATTCGTTGTCATATTATATTGGCTGCTCATTACTATATTATTCCAAGGACCAGCTAAAAACCCAACCAAAACGGAATAAAAACTTTCTTAACGTTCCACAGGGTTTGGCTCTTAAGGGTCTCGAATCGTTTTAGATCACCAAAATGGGGGGTGATTGGTCAATAGTTTCCTCAAAAACCAGAGCTAAAATGAATAAAACTGTCGGGAAGACTAACTCTGGTGAACTCTGGTGATCAAAAGAAGAAAACAGATTGTTCTCAGTTCGCCAAGTTTCTGCATTAGTGAATAAGACCTCCACTGACCTTCTGCACGCGTTTTTATTTGACGAAATTTGTACCGTTTATTGTGGACAACTAAAAACCTTATTTTCACGTCGACTTAGAAAAGGCAATCGACCAAACTTTGTATTTGTTCCATCGCTTTATTCTTTGTGGGTTTTCATTGTTATGGAATTGTGAATGGTGTTTCTGCTTCTTGTCCCGTGTTGGCGCTATGTTAATGTTTTCTTTCTACATGTATGCTTGCCTCCAAAGTTTTCGTGCCGTTTGGCTGATGACTTTTTTCATTTCATTTCTTTAACTCTATAAAACTCCTGGCATATGTCCGATGGTTTCAGTAGCGTGTTTCATTTGGTTGGTTTATACTCAAATAAGTTAACAAGTGGTCACAAAGCTAATGGACATATTTGACAACTTTCGAGTACGTCAGATTCCATTGCTTTGGAACTTTGCTTGGAAAGAGAAAATAATCCGTATGTTGATGTAGATTGGAAAATTCTATTTGTTTATATTGATTTCGAAATGTGCCTGTCGTGCTCGTATGTTGATGAAATAGTCGTGCAAAAATTTCAGTCAGAGCAGAAATTCAGTGCTTTTTTTCTTAATACAATAATCTTTGTATCTTTGCGAGTTTTGAGATGTTGTATACGACATTTTGTGTGTACGTGGAACATTCTTGTAAAAATCGAACTCTTCGATTGAAAGAAAGGAATCAAGAATCTTCCTCATCAGAAAACTAAATACTTATAGAGAATATACTTCCATAGAAGCTCAGGAACTGAGTTTGCACAGTAAGATTTTTGCTGTGTTAGGGGAAGTACTAAACAGGGGCACCCAACGAGAATATAGTTCAAAACCACTTAAACATAGCATTGTTAAACGTATTTTAGTATTTAAACGGTAGATATAGGCATATTTTTATCCCCTAAAAAATTTTTCATCTGTTCGGATAACCTAGCTGAAGGTCTAGTGATCCGAAAATTATAGGATCAAAACTTACCTTTTCGAAAATTTCAGCCAGAAAAAAGGCTCCCGAAAATTCTAGGTGACCTTTTGAGGGTAAAAATCCGTTAAAAATGGGCAATTATAGTAGTTTTTAGATGTTCGAAAATCCGAGGAGAGGCAGACAAGCAAAAAATTTTACAACAAATGTTCCGAAAATTCTAGATCTCAAATCGTCTTCCGAACAGATATTTTCCGAAAATTGTCGTTGGGTGCCCCTGACTAGAAGGACTCGAGGCCTCTTTATCGCCTGCTGGCCAGCATAACCAAGAACCAAGGCGTGGATCTGATGTCGTAAATGGAAAAGTGGCAAAAAAGTGTAAAAAAAAGAAACCATTTTTTATAACTTTATTAGTTTTGGACGATGGGTATCGAAAGTACACCAAACTTCAAAATCTCGCTTGTACCTCGTCTGTTGTTCGATGTTAAAGTTAAGTAATGCCGTCACACTGTATAACGAAATCTTGTTTTTCCAGTTGATTTACTGGGAGGAAATTAGCACAAGTACATGTAGTCAGATGCGGAAAACAGGAAAAGACTTTTTCACACTTAAAATGTTGTGAAGAATCAGGCAAAAACACCACAAAATTTCCGCAGAAATCAATCGGCAGTACGTGAATGCTAGAGGAAAGAACGTGTATGACGTAATTGGAAACAATTAAATTCAGGGAACATGCTCACTCGCACGATCAAGAAAATGTTGCAAAGTGCGTTGAAATGAGCTCATTTGTTAGCAGTGGAGCGCTTTGCAAAGACCTAGAAACCCCGCTGGGGTAGCCAGACAAGGTCTTTTCGTCAGCTGTTTTCAGACTTAAAACTATAATCCAACCGCATTAAATTGGATCTGCACGAACAACACATATTTCTTGACAAGTGTTTATTTGTGAATATAAATTCGATAGACCGAAGCAACAATTTGCAGACTTTCGAGATTTTATTGTACTAAGACCGTTTTATCTAGCCTCTGGCTTGTTTTGTGCGAAAAACTCACATCAGTCTCTCTTAAAATGTTTTGCAGATTAAATTAGCGAGTTTCCTTGATTTGAAAAAGGAAAGCATCGTTGAATCACTTATCAAGCAAAATTCCGCTGGTTGAAAAATCAAGATTTAATTGAATTCTGATTTTCACTTTACCTTTTTTCTGCAGTTAAGCAAAGTTCTCTCTTCAGTCGTGTTCACAGGGTATAAAACTGCTTTCCAGACCACTTGTTAAGTAATTCCGCAAAATACAAAAAGAATTTGGCTGCGATGCCGTCTTTCGATAATTCATAACATAGAATTAACTTTCTCGGTTACAAAGGTACCATTTATGTATCAATATTTTATTAACTTCAAATTTCATTGATTTTTTTTTTTCACATCATTTACTCTGTTTTATGAAATAAATATTGCATTTATTACCCTAGCAATTTGCCGAAGGAGCCGTTTTAGTTGCAGCATACCGTAATTACCATATAAACAAATAAATCTGTTTATTGTTCTCTCTGTGATTAGTGATAAAGGAATCCTTTGTCTATTTTGGCAGAACTTCTAACCCCCATACAGCGATCTGATGTTGCTTCTAGAATTTTGGGGACACGCAAATCGTTAAATCTCCTTTCAAGTCAATAACTATGGTATCCGGGAGTTGTTTTCATTGTCAGTGATTACCGGAATAGCTGTAAAGCTATTTTAAGACTTCAGTTGTTGTTGTGCTTAAGCATACTTCTAATCTTTTACCGAGTTTATTAAGTTTAACAGATTTAAACATTTCACGCACGAGAAGGAACCCCTCAATCGTGTTTTAAGTTCTTTCTGAGTTCTTACTTGTAGATTTGTGACTTAGATCACAGATTTAACACTTAGATGAGCACGTTCTTATATTGCTGTGCTAATGAGTCTTTTTGACAGACTTTCCATAGCTTGGATTGGTCAGTTTGGGCAAAGTAACCGTGATTGTTTCGTAACTTGAAGAGTCTTGTCCGTCGCTCGTACGGCCCTCAAGTTTACTTAACTTCATAGCCCCGGTACGTTTTTCTTTGGGGACCACTAAACGTTTTTTGTCGATCTGCCGTCGCGAATCTCTCTTGTGGATCTCCGCTACTGTGGACACTCTAATCCTGGGAAGCTTAACCGAATCTTTAGCTTCTTTACTCGTATCTTCTAAGTCTTTTACATGGTCTCTTAAACCCGTTGAGATATTTATTTCGGTTCTTATTGCACCAAGATTGCTAAACTGTTCCTGAAGCTTTAATCTCTCCTGTTTTCGTTGCCTGTACAAACCATCTAGCTTGTCCAGCACTTCAAAGTGTTCCCGAGTTCCCATAAGGTCTTTGTACATAACTCTCCTAGACTTATACCTTTCGATCAACTGTTCAAATGAGTCTGGGTTCGTTTGACGAGTCTTCGCTGCCTTTTTGCTCCCATGATAGAGATTTCCACTTCTGTCGATAAATCCACTATTATCCATTTGAACAGGCGTTTTTTTTGTGACTGATGAGCTAGAAATGTGCTTAACATCAATGTGTGAATTTCCACTGTCTGTTAACACTTCTTTGTTTGTTTTTGTTATTTCTTTTGCAAAGAACAACTGATTGCGAAGACTATCCGCAGGCTTTAAAGCCGCAATCACCTTGTATCGTCCAAACTTGTTGAAGGAATGCAAAGCTTCTTGGACAAAAACTAAAAGAGGTCCATCCCGACCATTATGTTCAAACTTGAAGAGATTCTGCCCTTGGGTCTCGCATGGCAACAACGTTTGCTTGCCATTTTCAATTGCTGAGTGTATTCTCGCGGTGTTTTGTGATGAAGCCTTTGTCAATTTAAGTTGTTTTGTCTCAACTTGCTCTCTTCTTGTTTCTGTGTTTCCCTCGTGCTGAAAGCCAAATGATTTTCTTGCCATTTTGCCCCCGTCTGAGCGATTGCGGCTTTCTAATCGTCCTTCATAACCGGTGTAGAATCCGTCGGCTCCTTCGCATTAACAGCCTATTGTTAAGTGAATCCTTCTTGACTGGTATACAACCAATGCTTGTGCCCATGACTTGTTCGATATTACAATTATTTTTCAAGCTTGGATGAACGTCAAGTATTAAATAAATGAAGGAGTTTATCGCTAAAGCAGAAACATTCCATGAAACGAGCTCTTTACGTAGCAATTTGCTTAAAAATGCGCCCCAAGGGTTCGTTATCACAGGGGGTTTTATCACGCCATCAAGGGTCCCGGACTTTGGTCGGAATCGATTGACAGATCAGAGATGATAAGTGACCTTAAGCATGTCTACGTTTTTCTCTCTAGGATGGGACGATTTGCATACTTTAATAATTGACCATAATTAGATGCAAAGATGAAAAATGGCGGGAAAATGAACAAAAAAACTCCGGAAGTTTTGTTGACGAAATTGAAAGGACGGTCTTTAAATTCCTCGTACTGTAGGTCTATTGTGGCTTATGAATGGGAAAGCTTTAGAGCGTGACATTAGCACTCACACAAATCATAAATATCACAACGCTTGGATCGACCGCGTGGTCTCTGATCAGTCGATTACATACCGTGAAGGTGTATACTACACCTCACGATCCTGATCTCGGTGGGGCCGGATGAGTTAAACCACTACGCATTTACCCATCTCAAATTACCGTAAACATTATCTACCCTCTCGAGAAGAACGCTCACACTGAATTATCCGTTTGCTTCGTCAAAGTGCACAAGTCCAACAGTTGAGTATAACATTGTCCATCACAATCTAAGTTTTAGTTACAAGACTGTAACACGTTGTAGGCACTTATTGGTAATGGCCAGTGTAAATTCTCGATCAGAACTGTTCCCAAACAGAGCATTTACGCCTCCTGATAGCGTTTTTGCAATGGACGATGATCACGATCCAGAATTTCAAGCGAGAATGCCACTTCGACATCACTCATCTTACGAAAATATGAACGGAAAAGTCATCACTGACGACACCCACCATTATGAAGACCCTGTTAGACTGAAAGCGCAGATCAGTACGAGTCGAGGAAGACCCATCCCGGAACCAAGCAAATCGAGCAACAAAAGACCAAGAAAGAAGATCAACGAAACCTATGAACCTGTTGGGACAAAAGGGCGCAAAAGAACCTTCACAGACGAATCTTACTCCTCCGATGGATACCACAGAGATCGTTGTTCTACCCTCTTTAAAATCCTAGCTTTTGTTGGGTTTTTCGTCGGTTTAGCAGCTTTGGCATTGGTGGTTATGATAACGTTAGGAATGCTTTCACTTCCTTCGTGCCACGATTGCAAGAAGGAGATTGTGCCTGGTTCTTCCTCGAATCCCGAAGCTTCTGGATCAACGCAAGAATTGTGGCAAATTATCAAAGAATTGAGAGAAAACGTGAGCAGATTGAGTGTGGCAGTTAGAGGGAAAGATGACATGATCTCGCAACTTCAGAGACGCGATTTAGAACACACGAACAAGATCGCAGAGCTGGAAAGAATAGCAACTCAGCGAGTATTCGTCTCTAACAACACGGATTTTAACGTCAGCGGGCTCATTGGACCACGAGGTCCGCCAGGGATTCCTGGGCCACCAGGTCCAAAAGGCGAAGATGGTTCAGATGGAAAACCAGGCAAGACCGGCTCAGGGAATATGACTTTGTGTCGCTATGTGAAGAAAACGAGTGTCTCGTTTACAGCAGACAGTCATAGCACTGGACAAAACGTGATCGTTACTGAGCCAAAAGGATACAGAATGATGGGGGTTACTTGTTCGACGCTTGGAACTTCGGAATATAATTTGATAACTGTTGAAAATGATCAGAAAGTAAGACATTACACCTGCGAGTGCAGAGGGATTTCAAGTGTGTTTACTGTAGACGAGGGTCGCGCTCAATGTATCATGCATTACTGGATCTGCCCATTAATTTCATAGAAACTGGAAGATATTAATTTTATACTTTCACTTAAAGACGCGATCAAAAACAGAGAAGGCAGAAGAGTTTCATTTAAGTAAAATTCAGTAAGACATAAAAATTTACAGCCTAGTCGAAGGCATTGCACTGCTCAGTTACGTAAACCATAGTGAAGCGATCCACAGACGCAAAAGATAGAACAATGCTTTCTCCATGAGCTATCAAAGGTGCGGTTCTAGAGGTAAAAAGTATTGAATACAACGCGTTTTAGTTCAGTGAATTTTAATTTAATCAATATTACCAGGGTACATTAATTGTATGTTGTAAAATAGTATGACGTGCGCAATTCCGGGAAAACCACGAAATTCAATGTTGTAAGTTTGCCAGTATCATGTCGGACTTGTGGGAAATTACTTTATTTACTTACCAAGTTACATGTTGTCAGTATTTTAAGCGGGAATGTGGCGGCCATTGTAAATTCAATTGACGTTACTCGTTAGGAATGTCGATGTTAAAAATACTCGCTCACTTATCATAGTATTGTGAATATCACATTGGGGAGGAATTCAGCAATTTCTTTAAATATTAGAGGCGAATAGTTGTAGTTATCCATTGATTCACTGATTATCCATTTAATCGGAGGCGTTGATGATTAATTTCTGACGGAAAGTCAAAGTGCATACTAACCATTGCTTGGCAATGATTTGATTGTGTACATGCATTTGCATGACCATCTGTAGTTTATAATAATTTAATCATAATAAAAACCATGATATTCATTCTTTTATGTTGTACATCGACACGACAATCGATCGCGTGATAAAATATATTTAAAGTTAAAGCCCAACATAATTAAAATGTGCATACATGATATGTAGGTTGTAAATGTAAGTTACAGGTTTTTGTTCAAATAAACTGTGGTGAAGAAAGTTGAAGATGCCAGAGTATCTGCCCAATCTTTTCGCTTGACAAAAACCACTTCATTAATTGATTGCTGTTGATTATTAGGATGTGTCTTTGGGGTGTCTATCCGCTAAGTGGAATTAGAACTAGAATTCTCTTAGCTTGGTTAGGAGACGCCTTCCTTGGGGCTTGGGCCGTCTTAGTGAAGCTCTTCTCAGGCATTTCCAAGCTACAGATCAACACACATTGCAAGCGAATGCGAACAACCCCAAAGCCTAGGGGTGTATCCCAAGTTTATTTCACTACTAAAGAAATAGGGAATTGTCAGGAATTGTGAGAAGAGAAGGTGAAATTCCGGATATCCCTCTCTCATTCATCAACGAATTTCTCATCAGGTTAAGCCGGTGTGTTTAATGACCAAACCCGCCTGCCTCAACCAAGTTACCTTGACCCCTTATGGGATTAATTAAAACTTTCGCAGGAGAGAAAAGCTAACAAGCACAGGGTTCATTTCAGGTGTTTTTTTCTCTGAATCATAAGGGAAACTTTGAGTTCCTTTTGAGCTTACACGTCTTTCTGAAAATATTTTGACACGATTTTTCCTAATCAAATATTTGCGCAGCTTGAAGCATCACGCCGCAAAATTATTTGATCGCGCACTGAGTTTTTCCGGTTTATTAATTTCCTTCATTGTGTGGGACGTATAACAGGAAAGGGAGTTTATTAAGTCCAATTTAAAATGTCTTATCTTGTTCAAGTACCGCATAGAAATAATGCTTTATGAAAACAGCATCATGTAAGATGGTTGATCATACTTTTTAATGCCATTTATGTTGGGATTTTAACTAACCACACAGCTCCCTGAAAGCCTCATTGAGATTCCAGCCGCCTGCGTTTTTTATCAATCCCTAAATAATTGTATCTTGCCTGATTCAAGCCCCCACCCCGCCCAAGAGTCTTCGCCCTCTTCAGATATCGGCTACTCATTATGCATTAAAAACATCTTGTTACATTTTCAAGGAGCTGGGCCATTCTTTGCTTATCATTTATGTTATTTACACTTTGACCGCCCTCAAACAGAGACCCATTCAAAAATGAATCCAATGGCTGCATCTCGTAATCGATTAAAAATAAATAGTCTTCCAAAAGAAAGGGAACTTTTATATCATACTCTGTGATAGACACTCACGCCCTCTTTTGCTTTCGACGCTGCCAAATACGGTAAGGGGAGAATAAAGATCTGCTGATGTCTAGCAAAAGTTGTCTTTTCCAAAAATTTAATGAACATTCACAAAAAGGGAAAGACTGAGAGAAATTGTTGACTGTAGTTATGCAAGATGAGAGAAATCTCCTGGTATAACATTCCCTTACTGAAAAACTGAGGGATGTATTAGTACGTTACTCTAAAATAATAATAAAAAATAATCCGGAGAGCGAGAATAATACGCGGCGGTTATAAAGCACAAAGCATCATTGATTTCTGGAACATGCCACCACATTCCAAGAATTCAGAGATCATAGCAAGGTATTTTTTAAAATAACAACGCGCCGTCGACGTTGAGCAATGCTTCACTGGCGAAAGAAAGACATAACTAATCTAATTTCAGTGCGTGGGGTGTTGAGATTTGATGGTGTGCAAGTTAAATGATCATATACCGGCATATTTCGTAATCTGTCTGAAATAAAAGTTGTTTTTATATCAAATCTATTTTGCTTAGATTTCTCGTAATAAGGAAGGCTAAATTGCTTAACTAACACCAGATCAAGCTACAAAAATAACCAAACAACCCGCATCCAGTTACCAAAGCAATTCTATTTTGATTCTATTTTCAGTTTCTAGTTTTCAATGCACACAACGGATACCAAACATGAGCCGGCTTTTGCGCTTCCGCGATTAATGCTCAAATCGCACCATTGTAGAATACTATTAAGGGAAATTCGGCAAGGGCGCACCTACAGCTAAAATGGTTCATCTTTTGCTGTTCATGCTGTGGCCGCAGTGTCAAGTGCACGCAATGAAGGTTTACAACTACAATACCAAGTGTCCGTTAACTTATGCTTTCTTCATTTCTAAATGCGCAACCCATTTGTAACCCATTAAATGATTACAAAAAGTAAGGCAACCCTACAAATGGCGAAGAAAATTTTTTTTTTAATGTAAATATTGATAAAATTTTTCAGTACTCATGTGATTTTGCAGAGTGATGGTAATTCTGAGGTACATTCGGATTGAATTTTCGGGAAGTATTTGTTTCACTTCCCGGGCGTTTTCATGAATCAGCATTGTTAAAAGGCCGGATTTTTTTTTCACAACTTTGTGGTACATCTGTCACCCTCACGTCCCCAAAATGGCTTCCGCTCATGCCTTCGTGTAATATAAATTCCGACATATTCTGGCAGTTCACCCATTTAGTGCCTCAACAAAAAGGATTCAAATTTTATTTGGTAAAATACAAAAAAATACATAGTGCCATACGAAAGAATTTCTGAATAGGTGTCCTTTCAAAAGTCACACTGGGCCTTTATGATTTTTTAGTATCTTCAGACTCCAAAGAAAAACTGTACTTTCCTTCTACATTGACTGTTATCGACTCAGTGTTGGATGTAGAAGGTTAAAGATGTTTTCAGTTTTCTTAGCTGATCGTGGTTTTCCCGCATGCTTGATGCTGGGAAGTAGTCATCAAGGTTGAGGGAAAATTCTGGAGTAGACGCAAGGAAAACAGTGCTATAAAGGGATCTAAAATCTAAGAGCTCTTTGAGGAGGATGAAAGAATTGAAGGCCAGCGATATGTGACTGTCTGATTTAGTTGAGAGACGTAAGCCAAAACTATAATTACTCGGCCGTACACAGGAGACGTCGATAGACATGCTTGTTTAATAGCGTAGAAGAAGCTAAGCTCAAGCTAGCCTGCGAACAGCAGACGTATTTCCGGTCATCGCTTCTCTCCCTCTATACCCAAAACTGAAAAGTGAGTTATTTCTAACACAGGATTTAAAAACTCTTTAAAATTACTGTTTCTCAGCTGGAAACTGAAAAAAGGCACGTCCTAAAAAAAGAAAGAAAAGTACCGTTTTACAGGGAATAACTAGGAAGCACAGCTCCCCAACAACTTGGCACTTGAGGTCCTGCTTAGTAGGTGTGATCATGTGAATGACCACGCCCTTCACATCTGGGTTACGTAAGAATGTACTGCGCGCAAAACTGACAAACACTTAGAAATAAAAAAATGAGCTTTTTCTCTAGTTCGATTTTGTACTTTTATCATGGCGTTTAATTAAAGGTAATGTTACACGGGACGATTCGCAGCGACGATTTTTAGGGCAACACAGCTTTGAAAATGCATGAGCGTCAACCGCAACATTAACAAAAACAACAACAACACTCTTTATGCCTGGATTTTTGAGCTCGAGGTACGTCAACGCAAACCCTAATTACCTGTACGTACGCCTTACAAACATATCGAACGCACTCTTCTAAGCTCCGATTACTCCTAGTTAATTTGCTAATGATATGTAATCAGTTTTTGTTTCTAGATTACTCATTGTAAATAGATTTCGTAGCAGAGATTTTGCATAATGATTTGTAAAGCGTTATGAGCATTTAGTGAAATAAGGCTGTATAAATATAAATAAACTCATTATTATTATTATTATTGCTGCAAATGAGCTGTTACAAAAATCTATACGTAGAGGATTACTGCATAGGTGCATCCACACCCTCTGCATTCTGTATATGAAATTAATATATTCATTATCTCATCTCTTTAAATTTGTTGAAAACCATCTCTATTTCAAATGGCCCGAATGCCTTAGTGGGTGTTAAATCGGACGGTTCCTCCTGAATTGACAAACCTAAAACAGAAATCACCCTTTTCTAGTCACTTTCTCTTGATCTGAATGAAGCCATTGTCTAGTAGATTCACTCAAAATAAAATTTATATATGTGTTTGTCTGGTTAATTTTTTTTTTGCAACTTTTGGCTGCTGTCCAAGCAAGACACAGGAAAGCTAGCAAATTCTATATTCTCATTTTTTGATCCTTATCACAGAAAACCGAAAGAAACAAAGACATCCGCCGTTTCCAGGTGCAAGAATCGAAACGGAAGTTCGAAGGTGTAGCAGCAACCTTTATTTGATTTCTCTATGACATCTCTGATTCATCAATTCTTTTAAGAACAAACATTCTGCCCAAGAAGACATTCCGAACTGAAAACACTTGCCTGATCAACCTTGCCTTCAGTTTTAAGCATAGTTTCTTCCTCTAGTGTGTGGACAGCTTTTTATCTGTATTTTTCCTGTGAGTAATAAGGAAGTTCGCCGACAGTAATTTGTTATTGTTTTTTTTCCTATTTCGTTCATTTTGTTATATTTCCATTACCGTTTCAAGAAAGTTCATGATGTACTTAGTAGTAACAAAAAAAAGACGGAAACTTCTTGTACAGGAACGTGGGATCAAAGTTCCTCGGTTTAAATGTTCGATTTGTCGATAAAATCAAGAAATTCTGTAGGCTAAAATTAGGTCTTGTTATATGAGATGAATTAAGGCGGGTTATTTCCTGTATTTGATCTCTGTACTGTTAGCACTAAGGACTTTAGCGATTTGTTTTTCTTCCTGGGCGTTCTCAGTGAATCAGCATGTTATGGCTGGTCACATGTTTGTCGACCTCTTTTTAACTCCTATTAAAAACGCTGCTGTAGCAGTAATTTTAATTTCAACAGTGCGACCTTTCGCAGAGCTAGTTCAGTTTTATTGGTAAACTGAAACGTCTGACAGTAGCGCTGTGACGTAACCTAGGCTTAGGGTTAGGGTTATTTCTTCCCTCCCCACAAGGGAAGAAATACGAGCTCCCCTAAAAACGCCTGCGGGGGAGGCTAACCTGGGCTCTGACCTTGGAGTGATATAACGTTTTACGGCGCAAAAGTAAAGTTACGAT